CGGCTTTCCCACCTGCCGGCTCACAACAATTCCAGCAATGCGCCCTCTCACAAGGCAGGTAATTCTGAGCCCCCATCGCATTGGCATCTCATAGTTGAAGTCCTCGTACAACACCTGACAGTCTTTCTGCAATAAGACGGACTGTGTGGTCATTGCTGGATGCAGGCCTCTTCTGCGAAGAACGGTAAAGACTCTGACGGTGCTGCATTGCCCTAACAGGGGTCGAGACGGTCGAGAGGCTGCGCTGCTTGTTTCTCAGCCTTACACGGAAATACAACAGTATAACAGTATCAGTATAAGGGCACAGATTACAACTGACCAGCTTTGATCATCCGTCCTGCAGTTCGCTCCACAGATACCGGCAGATGTCACCTTGCGCCGAAATACGGACAAGACACATGGTCACCATCAACAACTGTTTACTAGAAAGGCACTGGAAAACTGCTTCAAGAATCGCACTCGCTCCCGACGGCGAGCGTCGCTTAGCCTTGCTCATGCACTTTCTCCACTGCGGCACATGCAAGCACAGCCGTTTGAGAGCGGAACGGCATCAAACTTGGCTGTGTTGTCACCCCCGATGGCCTAGTGATCCACCGTGCGATATCCTCACTCTCCTTCTGGACTGACAAAAGCCTGGGCCTTCAGGAGTTCCACTGTTGCATCACCGGGCTTAAACAGGGGCTCGCAAATCTCGCGCAGGTAGCTGACCAACCTCAAACATGAGATACACACTTCCATAAAGCGCCAGACTACTTCGAGTCTTTGGGACAAGCTTTCTGGCTGCGACTTCTGTTAGACTCGATCAAAAGAAAAACGCGGGAACAAACAAACACTGCTCCGAGCTGTACTTTGAAGACCGATGCAAGGACTTCACGCCTTCATCTCTCAAAAGTGTTTCGAGGGGCAACGATGTGGTGCATACTCTTTGTCCTTTCACACCACTGGGGCGAGGCCTCATGCAAGGCCATAGCATCGCCAACCTTAAAATTTCAAGCCTGCACAGATTTGCGCATGCAGGACATCCTGCGCACACTACGATACCTGAAGCAAGTAGAACAAGTACAGTAGGCTTTCCAAGCCCCTTGCCCATCTTCATTCAGCTCCACATACGTGGTGCCACGGATTCCAACCTAGCTTGTCGGCTCTGAGAGAATCGCGAAGCGTCCACTCAAAAGTCAGCGGATCATCCGGAATGCGGGGTTTGTTGCAGAGCGTGGAGCATGGTTTCTGAACCTCTCCCACCGCTCAGCCTTCACCCGCTCCTTTCAAAGTTCCTGAGGCCAGATAGATCCCCCCCTTAAGTTCGGATCCCCCACTACTACTGAGAACCGCCCGACACATCCCGAAGGCCACCTTGTGCCGCTTGCTGCATTAAAGCCGCGTTGAAATAACATGTTTCTTTGTGAGCTCCTGGCAGCACCGTCATCTTCCAAATGCCAGGTGAATCCACAAGACCTCTCAGCTGTCACGATGCGACACAACCGCTTGAGATTAACATCAGCCTTGCTGTTGATTGCTGTCCCCAGGCCTTGTGCCATCACTCAGTCGGTCAATGACGATCCTCATTCCAGAAGCATGTCAACAAGTCGGAGCACGCATCTGCTGCTTGGTTTGATATAGGAAAACAAGTCCTTCCGCAAGAAGCCTTGTTGTCCATGTAGGCGCGCACCTCAGTGATACTGGCATGGCGTTCGTCGTCCCACTAGGAAGGTCCTAGCTCCGAGTGCAGGCCAGCGGCACCAGCAGAATTCGATGCGCTGACGTCTGAGTAATAGAGGTCCTGCTGTCTTCAACCGGGGTCCCACACATTCCAGACTGAAGCGTAGAGTCTCCATGCATTCATCCGCACCGATAGCAATCATCTGATGCATCCCGGGGAACCAATTTTCTGCAGCAGTCTTCTCCCGTCATCTCAAACGCTTGAAGCACAACGACATACTTGCAAGTCATGTGTCTACACTTAGTTCAATGATGGTTCGCTTGTTGCTAGGTCGGAGCTTCCACGATCTTGGCGTTGCCCCCAGCACTCGATCCACTGGTACTTGTGCTGAGGGGCACAAGTCCTCCCTAGCCAACGGGCAACCCTTGCACACGGGATGGCGTGGTTTGCAGATTTCTTGGCCGAAGCCAATCATACGCCGAGCTACAATCTCGCGGATCTCTTCGGAAACAAAGCCTTCCAGGCAGTGTCGCGTCTGCTCCGGTTCGGTAAACCTTGACCATCCAAGCCGCCAAGCAACACGCTGAACATGAGTGTCTACGACCATTCCACATCCGGCGGCCTGCTGAAAGGTAACGGACAGAACCAAATTAGCTATCTTTGGACCAACCCCAGGCAGTGCAATGAGGGCATCAAAGCTTGCTGGCACTCTTCCTGCATGGTGAGAAAGAAGAGTTGCCGCCGTCTCGCGCAGTCTTTGCGCCTTCCCCTTGTAGAAGTTCACGCCGGCCAAGCTCAAACATTCAGAGAGCATCTCCAAGGGAGCCAAAGCCAAAGCCGCTGGGCTAAAGCACACAGCACACGCAGACCCAAAGCGCAGCAGCAAGCGCTTCGTTGCATCGATGGCCGCACGATCCCGTGTCTGTGCACTCAAGATGGCCGCACAGAGACAAGTAAATTCACAGTTCTCGGATCCTGCCAGTGAACGAAGGAAATCATGGAACTCTTGAACTGTGCCTCGGGCATCAGCTGAAAGAAGCACTCGCAGCTGCTGGCGCCAACCAGGGGGGCTGCATCCACGAAGCCCAGCACCAGAAGCCCTCACAAGATGACCATTAAGGAACTCCTCTGCTGTGCAACTGCTTTCTCCGGAAGGCTCCAAACTGCTCACGTCTCTTCACTATGTTGTTCCGGGCAGTACGTGTTTAGGACCAAGGCCTCTCCGTTTCCTGTTGCGGCGATGCAAAAGCCCGAGGGCTCGAGGCCTTTCCCCCCCTCGCCCCGCCCTCACCGGCCTTGGCCTTGGCCTTGGGAAAAGAAGTTTGTTTGTTTTCGTGGGCGCAACGGCCGTTGAGTTGATCGCGGTTGTTCCTCAGTGCATATTCTGCACACGAGGGTGTGTGTGTGTGTGTGTGTGTCTTCGCCCACACCCTCTGCAACGGCCACAGATCTACATTAGCTACACTTTGCAACCTACGGGGAGACGGGGTACGTGACTAAACAAGTTAAGGTGCCTGTAGCTCCACATCCGTCCCATGCATCGTGCCCACCGGCATGAGCAGGCGATGCGGCGAGGTCCGTCTCTGCTGCCGCACCAGCTGTGGCACCTGCTGCCGTCCGCCTGTCCCGGTCGGCGAAAATGCGAAGGCTTCCAACAGGTCGAGGCCAAAGCTTGCCATGATGCGAAGCCCGCACTCTTCGATCGGTCCCAAACAGTGCCTTCCTGCCACCGCAACAGTTTAACTTCCTATAGAGCTCAGGGTTCGGAAGATGGAAGCTGTCGGTTTTGCAGCAGGGTTCGGGGTTGAGCCGGTTGAGCCTGCAGCCTGCATGCAAGGAAGCTTGACTTGCACCAGTCACTTCAAGCCGTGGAGGCGCTTGAAGTGGACTTTTACAGAAACCTTATGCATGCTGCATACTGAAGCTAGTCGTCGGCAACTGACCTCAACAACTGCATTCGCGTCGAAGGATTCCAGCCAAGCACGCTCCTTTTCCACATTGCCTCTGTAAGGGAAAGCGGGACTCTGAGTCCATCCTTGTCAGCACAAGCCAAATCAAAGCTGAGGAAGGCACCCTGCGGGAGACCAACCTGCAGAGCAACCATAAAGCCGTTCATAGCCTGCATCGTAGCTCACCACTGCACCTCCTCCCACAACTGCAGCACTAAAGACGGTGCTGCTCCCAAACTCGTCCTGTGCAGGTCAGGCGCAACATTCTAAGTCGACTACATCACGACCGTGCCGACCACCCTGTGTGATCTGGGGCGTCAGCTGTGCTCGAGTAACTTCCAGGGTCGCAGCCTGACTAAAACACTGAAGCAGAATAACGATGAGTATGCTTTGCATGTTGGGAAACCCTTTGTCTGTGGACGCACCTGCATCGATGTGACCGAAGGATCGCCTCGCAGAACTGGCACTCCCATCATCCGCACTGCCGTAGGCTTGTCATCCAACCACTCACTGGGTCCGGAACGAACAGGCCCGCATCTCTTGCCTCGATTTCGGAGCGCAGCATGCACACCAGCCTCGCTTCCACTGGCTGATCCAAAACCCTTTGAAGTCAGAACAGTGAAGACTGCAACTCAAGCAATACTAGCACGTCTCGCTGGGTGCTGGTCAAAGGATCCCATCATCAGGGCCGTCACTGCTGCAGAAGCCTCGGCAGCTCTTTTTTCGGGAAAGCAGCTTGTTTCTGCAGCCTACATAACCCACCTTCCCATTCTCTTCACGAAAAGTTGCTGGTGGCGAAACCTGACAAGTAACCAGTTGATGTGTCTTTTCTGCAAGCCAAAGCAGCACGGCGCGCCCAGCCTCCTTGATCGGAAGTGCTGCCGAACATGCTGGTCTGCTCAGCTGCGGCGGCGAAGCAGACTTGGTGTCATGAAAAGGACCAGTTCACAGTTGAATTTCGGCCCTAAGCTTTGCACCAGCAGCCCAGCCATGGCTTCACAGTATCGCACCAAGTGCCACCACAAATACGACGTAGATTCGTGCAGCAGTGTCTTCTGAGGCTTAACACTGGAAGCTTCTTCTGCATCGTTTGCAATATGTGACTTTAGAATCACTTCTATCACTGATCACGGTGCTCAGTTTTGAGCAACGAGTTGCTGACATCCACAGTGCTTGATTGACTGCGGTCACACTTGCGCAAACAAGGACGACAATGACAATGGTGACAACCACAGCAGCAACACTGTCACAGCAGTAGCAACAGCAACACCAAGAACGAACACTACCACCAAGCATCACTTCTATCAAAGAGATCAGTAGATACCAGACCAACAGCCAGCAACAGCAGCAGGCTGTACAGCAACGACACGTGCAGACTGTTGGACCATGGCCTGCCCGGCTGGTTTGCCTCTGGCAAAGTCCGATGGCGACGCTGTGATCAAGTTTGTTTCTGGTCGGCTGATGGACCTTGGCATGCACGGAGAGACGCTGCAGCAGCAAACAGTGGTCTAGACTCTAGATTAACTAAAACAACAAGGCTGGCATAAGGTCACCACGGGAATGCCATGCCTCCACGACGCGCAGCCAATGCCAAAATGATTGCCGTGGCCTCATTATCAAAACCAATACCGGAAACTCCCGCACACAACATATAACACCGGCCAGGTGCACGGCGACGAAAGTGAACCGGCTGCCATGGCGACGGTAGTGTCTTCTGGACCGCGCAAGCGACGCCTCGGGGGTTCGCCAGCATGAAAACAAAAACATCGCTTGAGGACAGGCACAAAAAAGGGCATACACACACACACACAGCTGAGGCCACTGCTGATGTCCTGAAGCATCAAACTCTTCTCAAAGAATGTGACAAAACAACTGATCGTCTTGGGCACGTGCATTGTCATCACAAGACAACGAACCAGTGCATGCCCTTGTCTGCTGATCCAAAAAAGCACATGGGCAAGTGCGGATGGACACTTAAGATGGGAAGCAAGCAACAAGGACCCACATAAACATGAAAAATATACACCGGAAATTTTGCGATGTGTCGGCTCCAAGCGGAAACGCACGCCATAACTGAAAATATCATCGCAAAGCTTCTTCCGATTGTGGGCGATCGACACAACTGACTGTCCGCGTTATGTTGAGGACATTCTGTCTAGGAACAGGTTGTCATATATATATATATATATATATATGTTCCGAAAGCCGACATCTGGTTGACAAACAACCCCGTTCCAAAACGAGCACAAAAATAACGAGTGTCTTGTTTCGCAAAGATGGTGCAACTGCGCATGTATGTCGTCGTGGATTGTTTGCGCTCTGAACGTGTCAGAAACGATGCTAGCATTCTACTTATCTACACACATGCAACTGCTTCCTTGTTCCAACTGAAATCAGGCCATGAAAACCAGTGCTTGCGGTGTGAAAATAGGTATTGCACGCTCTCAAAGCAGACCGAAAGTGCGGGAAGGCATGAATACACCCAACTTCTGACATGAAAGATGTTCGTGCCGATGTCACTCCATTGTTTCACGTGGCGTCACATGCTCACTATCGACGATGCGTTATCTATCCGATTTGCATGTGAGACATACCATTTTACCTTTATATGCAGGATTGCATATTTCCAAACCACCAAACACGAATAACAAACCTTCAAGTGAATGGCGGATTTTGTTTTCCATGTGTCAAACGACTGTATTGTGGACACCTGCTGTGTCTTACATTTCTTGTGTTTTAAAGCCCTAAACCTAAAACTGCGTCCACGTGATGATCAAGGGCAGCGCATTGGGACTACGACGGCTACGTCTACTCCTGCTACTACTGTTCCTACTACTACTGCTACTACTACGGCTATTACTACAACTACTACTGCTACAAGCATCTCGGCTGTTCAGTCGGAAGCCCCGAAGGGTTAGCTGCCGCCTTGGTGAGCCATCGCAGCCGTGCTCCCGGAAAAACCACGAATTCCCGGCTCTGCGAGGCCCCAAGGGCACATATGCTGCTATGGTTGACGTTAGTGGCATACGCGAGAAGCATCTGCGACGCAGCCACAACAAAATACCTCTTACAGAGGACGAGGAATATGCCAGAGAACTTTGCGGTAGAGTACAACAGCGACAGCAATTCTACACCATGCTGGGCATTGGAATGCTTCGAAAGGCGGGCGGTTACTTGGCCGATCCTGCATACTTCAATGCTTTCGACATCGAATGGATTCATGCACATCCGAAAGCAGTTCTGCAAGCGGCTAGAAGATCGCCATACCCTCCGGATGAAGCACGCCTGCAGCAATGGTGCAAGCTGTACTGTCCTGCCTGGCTTGTCTTTCTTTGGCCTACAGAACCAGAGAAGCAACGTCTGCATATCGACCTGCATGCGATGGATTAGTCGAGGCGGGTGCTTTGATCGCAGGACCTCACCCCATATGCTCCGAACTTGTCCAGGCAAGAAGTACAAGCGATGGAGCTTTAAACAGTCCAGCAAACGCAGGACGCCGCGAAGACGACCTAAACGGAGACCCCCGACCAAATGGAACCTGCTACTCAGGAGTCTTTGGTGTCTTCTACGTCGGACGGCCGCCTTGCAGTGCCCCACACATGTTTGTCGAGACGCCTGCATTCATCAGCTGACTCGCTTGCGTGACAGACTCAATCGAATAGAGACCAGCCTTGCACATGTCTACTACGACTTGAATCAGGCTCAAGCTGTCTATATTGTTCTGGCGGCAACCCCAAGGAGTGGCACATGTACGCGACTCCGACTCCGAAGAGATTGACAGACTTGAGACACTGGCGGGTAGACCACCGGTGCCACCTCAGGGTCCTGGGCCCTTTGGCCCACCAGTACCTCAGCCTGTTCAATTGGACCAGCCAATCGTCCACCGCATCGCCGCGGCTATTGGTGTGGTGGGGCCCTCAACCCCTTTCAAGGGCCGATCTTGGTCTACATGCCCAGAGGCTGGCCGGCACTTCAGTCGCTGAGCGTCACCATCCGGCCTATGACGGTCACGGAGATGGATCATCCAAATGTTCTGGAGATCTACGATGACCCGCCAGAGGACGAGGCACCGGAAGACCGAGAAGAAGCTGAAACCGACGAGGTAGAGACACCGGTGCATGGGGCGATCGAGATGGCAGAGGGCGATGCAGGGGCCGAGGCTTCATCGTCTACAGCGGGTTCGTCTGCAACTTCAACGGCCCACACCGAAGCCCAAGGCCGTCAGGAAGCGCAGGCAGGGACCTCAAATCTGGTTTCCAGGGTGCATGTACCCAATGAATGCCTTTCTTCTTCATTGCAGCCAACTGTTGCTCTCATTTGCTTGCTCTACAGGCATACGAGTGCTGAGTGATGCGAGTGAGTGGCGGTACCGGAGTGCAAGTCACCACATAGGGCCCGAGAGGGATATAATCCGCTTCAATGTTGCTTCAGCAAACCCTCTGTCGTGCATGCACTCTGCGAAGACAGCCTCAGGATTGCACAGACAGCTGCGCCTTGCGGTTCGGCGGCGACTCAAAAAGAAGCCCTTCCTTCTTACACTGATATATACATGCAGTTTGTGAGCAAGTTCTACTGCTTCTTCTACTACAATGCACGTCCAGCTGCAGCATGGCCAGGTACTGTATCTCCTCGTTCTTGCCAGTGACTGTGGGGACCTCATACAGTTTCTCTTGGGTGAGATTCGGTACACATCTACGATTCTTCTTTCATAACCTTGCCAGGATCACTGGATCTCGCCGACGTCTTCGTCAGGCTCCGCTACCACAGCATCAGAGGTTAGCAAGAGCATATGTGTCGGCAGGTCAACTTGAAAAGACTGCCAATGATAGCCGGGTCGGTCCCAAGTCCGGCCGTGCTCGTGGAGGCACACACAGGACGCCAGTTGTCTTTGCACTCTTTTGTGTGCTGTTGTGGTTGCAGATCACACCAAGTTACTCCACGGGTACAGATGTGAGGGTTGACCTCGATCCCACTAGGACGTCTGGAGCCACTTTGGCGAAGCATGTGGGTCATCGGGAGGCTCAACCGCCCATTCATAGTCGTGACATTTCCAGTTGCGCTAAACGAACTTACAGGCGAGCATTTGCGCGAGCTTGCCGAGACGGAGGATCGTACTACAGAGGCGTCTGGAGAGAACATCGATGGTTCCAACCTCTTTCTGTTCATACCCGTGCACTTCCTGGCATCAGCAGGCCAATGGCTCACCAACAAACTTTGAGAACTTTGACCTGGAATGCAGGCGGGCTGCACGCACAAGTCTTCAGGGAATTGGAAACTTTTGCTGCTGATACTGCGATAGACATCTGCCTTGTACAAGAGACCAAATGGACCTTCGATGGTAACTGGAGCACAGGACAATTCCACTTCGTGCATTCTGCTGGTGAAGCAAAAGAGGATCGAGTTGGAGGCGTCCTCGTGATGGTCTCAGTTCGAGTTGTTCCGAAGTGCCATGATAAACAGTATCATGCCGTCCATCCGGGCCGTCTTCTACACGTTCGGGTCAATCGCAGGCAGCCCATTGACATACTCAATATGTACCAGTACTCTGCAAACGATCACAAACTCACTTCTGAAAGGCGACACAAATTTCTTCTTCGACTACGACACACTCTACAAGGACTGCCCACCAGAAACACATTGATTTTGGGAGGAGATGCTAACACAACCTGTACCCCTATGCCAAAGGTCTGTGGCAAATGGGTTATGCCGTCGGTGGAGGCCCACAACAAGGACTCAAGTGACTTCATGGCCATCCTGTCTGTGCATTCGCTTACTGTCCTTAATTCTTGGAGTCGTCCGACACACAGGCAACTCGCTACCTTCACGTTTGGGGAGCTGGCTTCTCAGATCGACTACATCATCAGTCGACAGGATCAGGCCAATCACAAGGCCAAACAAGCTGCAGTGCTCAACCAGTTTCCAGTTGCAGCCTGGCGTGACGGAGCGAAACATCACCCAGTTCTGGCACAGGTCACGGTCCCAGTACATCAGTGGCCTAAGGCCACGACATCATCATTGCTGATACCAGGATGCCTCAACCTCCCCCAGCTCTACAAGCTCTTCGCGAGGTTTATGTTGCCCAATGTCTACACAGGCTGAATGGAGCAGTATCTCACAGTTGGAACGTGGTCTTCTCAATCTGGCTCACGCCCACTATCCTGCACCGGCTCCGGAGACCAGCACTGTCAAGGACACGGACGAGAAACTTGCCAACTGTGCGCGTAACATGTGGGCTGTGTTCAGGAATATGCGCTCTCAAGCCTTCACGGCCCAAGGTCTTCTCCAAGGCACATCGCGAGCATAAAAAGGCCAAAAGCAAGGAGCGGAAGTACGAGTAACTTCCCAGAGCTTCCAAAGATGCTTAAATAATTTTTAGATATCTTTAATCATCTTGATTAAACACTATAGTGTCTATTTAAACATGGTATGTAAATGACAAAAACAATGCCTAATTAAGAAATGTTATTTTCTGTATATGCATCCCAATTATATACTTGCATGCGGACGATCGACTGCACGTGTTTTTCCTCCCAAGGATCACGCGCCGATCTCGATTCGAGGAACTTTATTAGCTGCCAGGAATCGTCTGAGAACTTGACAAGAAACAGCATTCATCGAAAACTTGCCACCACGCCGTCTGCCCAGCAATGCTAGGGTATGCCCATAGCTCTCATCCCTGTAGGTCCAGGTCTTGCTAGGGTTCACCTCGCCCCTGGCCAATTCGAACAGCTGATGGACTTTAGGTTTAACCCTGAAGAGCTTGTCCA